GAGGAGGAGGAGGAGGAGGAGAAGGAGGAGAAGGAGGAAAAGGATGATTCAAGTGGTGGGTCAGAAGAATTGTCAGGGTTAGTTGGCGGCGGAGAGGAGAAGGAAGAGGCGGGCGGGGGGACGATGGTTGGCGCCGTTCGAGAGGCGCAGTTAATCCGAAGATGTCCAACAAGTCCGATTCGAGCCCGGAATGTCCGTTGACATCGAGGACACGTTGGAAGCGGTTGTGCGGCGGCGTTGCTTACTGGGCGAAGTTGTGATTTGCTGGCTTCGCGTTTCGCTTTGGCGGCAGCGATGCGGTTGGCTTCGTATATCGCAGCGCCTGTCTTCACTGTCCTCCTCCAGGTCGGTCGATCGAGTGCGAGCTCCTCCCAGTTGGTGGGGTTGATTTGCAGGCATTTCAGGGAGGACTTCAGGGTATCCTTGTAACGGCGAATCTGGCCTCCTTGACGGCGAGAACCCATCGCGACGTCTCCGTAGAAGAGTCGTTTGGGTAGTCGCTTGTCGTCCATGCGCATCAGGTGGCCGCTCCAGCGCAGCTGAATTTGCCTCAGTATGGCGTAGATGCTGAGGATTTCCGTCCGTTCTAGCACATCAGTGTCGGGGATTCGATCCTGCCACTTTAGCCTCAGGATGCGACGAAGACAACTGAGGTGGAAGTGGTTCAGACGACGTGCCTGCTTTGCGTACACCGTCCAAGTCTCCGCTCCATACAGTAGTGTCGGCAGGATGACGGCCTTGTACATCTTCAGCTTGGTGCTCAGCTGAAGGCCGTGGCGATTCCAAACTGTGCTTTGGAGGCGACCGAAGGCTTGACTGGCTTTCGAGATCCTGTTGGCGACTTCGTCGTCGATCTTGGTGTTGCGGGAGAGAGTACTGCCCAGGTACGGGAAGTTCTCCACCACCTGCAGTTGGGTTCCGTTCACGCTGATTTGCGGCGGCGCGTTGGGGGCTGTGGCTGAGTTGGGTGGCGGTTGGTGCATCACCACCGTCTTCTGCGTGTTAATGACCAGACCGAAGTTCTCGCAGGCGGCGGAGAACAGGTCCATGCTCTGTTGCATCTCCTCTTCCGAGGTGGTGTTTAGGGCGCAGTCGTCGGCGAAGAGGAGTTCGTGAACGGTGGTTGTGGATACGCGCGATTGGAAGTGCATCTGCCGTTGATTCAGGAGGTGACCGTCCGTCCTGTAGGCCATGCGGATCCCGGGGCGTTCGTCACGGTAGGCGTCCATCAGCATGGCAGAGAACATAAGACTGAAGAGGGTAGGCGCCAGTACGCAGCCCTGCTTCACTCCATTGGTCACTGCGAATGCCTCTGAGACAGCTCCGTTGTCCGTGACTCGCACCATCATACCGTCGTGCAGCTGACGCACCATCTGAGTGAATCGCTCCGGACAGCCGAATTTCTGCATGATCTTCCACAGTCCTTCACGATTCACCGTGTCGAAGGCTTTTGTCAGGTCCACGAAGGTAGAGTACAGGTGGGTCCGCATCTCCTGACACTTCTCCTGTAGTTGACAGGCGGCGAAGATCATATCCGTGGTCCCACGATGACGACGGAAGCCGCATTGGTTTTCCGGCAGAAGGCCCTGTTCCAGATGGTTATTGAGGCGGTTGAGAAGGATGCGGGCGAAGATCTTCCCGGCGATGTTCAGCAGGGAGATGCCGCGGTGATTGTCGCAGACTTGGCGATTCCCTTTGCGCTTGTAGAGATGCACGATGGTTGCGTCTTTGAAATCTTGCGGGACTTCACCTTGACGCCACATCTCTTGGAAGAGCGCAGTCAGGTGATCCATCAGTTGGGGACCTCTGTGCACGTAGACCTCAGCAGGGATTGCGTCCGATCCGGGTGCTTTCCCGCTGGAGAGCTGCTGCACGGCCCTGATGGTCTCCTGGAGAGATGGCGGGAGGTCGAGGTCCACGTTGGTCTCCACTTGAGGCAAGCGGGCGATGGCGGCGTTGGAGATGACGGAGGGGCGATTGAGGACGCCTCGGAAATGCTCGGCCCATCGCTGTAGGATTTGCGTCTTCTCAGTCAGGAGAGTGTTGCCGTCGGCGCTGAGGAGAGGAGAAGTGCCCTTCGTCGACGGACCGTAGACAGCTTTGATCGCAGAGAAGGAGTTCTTCCATTCGTTGCGGTCCGCGTACTCTTGGATCTCCTCAGCTTTGCGAGCAGTCCAGGCGTCCTGCATCTCGGGCAGTCGTTGCTGAAGTTGGCGGCGACCGCGGTGGAAGGCAGCTTTGGTGGCATCAGTGGGGTGATCTACGTAGGCTTTGTGTAGGCGGTTCTTCTCAGCTAGCAGATTTCTGATGGTGGCGTCGTTGTCGTCGAACCATTCCTGGTGTTGGTGGGGAGCGCGACCGAGGACGGCGAGCGCCGTCGACTGGACCGTGTCTCGCAGTTGACACCAGCGGTTCTCCACGGAGGCGTTCTCGGCAGCGGCGGCGTCGGCAGCGATAGGAAGGTTGTCTAGCCTTTGAGCTAGCTCATTGCTGAAACGAAGATGGTGAGCGGGCAAAGACAACAAGGCAACATTCAGCTTACCTGGGGGTCGCTTACCTTGTGGTCTCCTGCGAGGCTGTAGGCGAATACGCATCTTCGAGATGACGAGGCGATGGTCGGTCCACCCGGTTGGGGTGTAGGGGTGTCAGCGGTGGGTTCACGTAATGGTCGTGGTGGTCGCTCACTTGCTTGCAGTTGAGACTGCGCCTAGCGTCCACTTGCTGGCACTCAACTCTCACCTCGGGCTCCACGTAGCTGGGCTCTGCTCAGCGGCCACACCCCGGGCAACCGTCTCGACCGGCGGGCTAAACCAGGTGAGGGGGCCCTGTGCGCTGTGCCGTGTGCACAGGGTTTGCGGATTCCGCTGGATGGAAGGTCGGATGGAACCTTGCGTCGGCACCGTCGTGACGTGGTTCGTCTCTGCACGCCGCTGGACAGCCGGTGACGGGATGGATCTCCACATCGACATCGCCTTGACGCGCCCACCTACGCCGTCGGGGACCGCGGCTTACGGCGAATTCGAGTCGCTCTCCACTACAACCCGAAGTCGTGGTCCCATAGTGGAGTTCAGCCGTGCCACGACGGCACATGGCAGCCCTATTCAGGGATGGCGCTGCCAGCCCCCACAAGGGGAAGGGCCTAGAAAAGGTGGCCTAAACATTGCTGGGTACCACGGCCGTCTCCAGGCTAGCCAGGGCCGCAGACGTCTTATTATGGTCGAAACAATCAAAATCGAAACAACAACAATACCAATAACAACAACAACAACCATACTCATTCTCCTCATCCTACCTCTTCTTCCTCTTCCTCTGCCTATTCTTCTGCCTATTCTTCTCCATCTCCTTCCCGTCGCCCCACTCGTTGTCACCAGACTGGCAGGGTGAGCCCGCTCACTCTGGCAGCCTGGAATGTTCGTTCCCTTTTAGACAATCCGAGGAGCAACCGACCGGAACGGAGGACGGCGCTAGTGGCACGAGAACTGGCGCGCTACAAGGTGGACATCGCCGCACTCAGCGAGACCCGTTTCTCCGAACAAGGCCAACTGGAGGAGGTGGGTGCCGGCTACACCTTCTTCTGGAGCGGTCGACCCAGGGCAGAGCGACGGGACGCGGGTGTCGCCTTCGCCATTCGGAAGGACATTGTGGGACGATTGCCCTGTTTGCCGCAGGGCATCAACGATCGCCTAATGAGCCTCCGCCTGCCTCTCCGGCGGGGGGGCCAATTCGCCACCATCATCAGCGCCTACGCTCCGACGATGACCAACCCCGACGCCGTCAGAGACAAATTCTACGAGGACCTGCACGCCCTCTTGGCGACTGTGTCGAAGGCGGACAAGTTGATTGTCCTTGGTGACCTCAACGCCCGCGTCGGCACAGACCATACGGTCTGGAGAGGAGTGCTGGGTCCCCACGGTCTCCGCCGCTCAAACGACAATGGTCTGCTGCTTCTCCGCACCTGCGCAGAACACCGCCTCATCCTGACGAACACCTTCTTCTGTCTGCCGGAACGAGAGAAGGCCACCTGGAGGCATCCTCGGTCGCGTCAGTGGCACCTGCTGGACTATGTCCTCGTCCGGAGGCGAGATCAGCGGGACGTGCTGGTGACGAAGGCGATCGCGGGTGCTGACGGGCGAAGATAAATAGGCTCAGGGCGGCAGGGCCTTGGACAAGGACGCCAGACGTTGACCATGATGGCAGTCAGCAGCAAGTGCTACTCCCACGTCCGATATTCATTGCCCTCTTGGAACAGTTATAGTTAGGCCTGACCATGTCTCAAATGCCTGGGACGTCGTAAGGAAGTCTTCTGTAAACTAATACATTCTAAGAAAAAGTTGCCGGACTAAACGATTTGTTTGTTAGTCAGCCTTTTTCCTCTTCTCCCACTCCCTCTTTTCCTTTTTTGCCTGCCGAACTTCGGGTTAATTCAAGAATCGTATTCCATTTTGTTCAGTCAGACCAGCGAAAATCTACTGTTCCTAATAATTGTGCGGTCCCTTAAGGTCCCATTTTATCCGCTCACCTCTTCTTTCTTCACACCAATGACCTAAGATCGCCAAATGACTGCCTGTATGTTAAGAATGTTAACAATATGGCTGTTGGTCACCCCTCCCCCTCCCGAACACCAGATTAATCTCCAGTTTTTGAAGGATGACTTTGATCTCGTCTCTGCTCGGTCGCTGAATCATAGTTCCTTCTCCACAGTCAGAAATCAGCTTAGTGTGTCTTTCGACTGTGACCCTGAATCCTTAGATAATTCTTCTCAACGAGGAGTCCTCCTTCCAGCGCTTTGATGTCATTCTGTCCTCATATCTCTCATTCACCCTTCATTTTGAAATCCTTTTCGCTAAAATTCGTAAAGTGGTTTATTATATTCATCGGTTACGTTCTTCCTACACACCCTAACCCCCAATCTTGACATTTATAGATGTATGCATTTCCTCTCCCATTCTCTATTGTCCCCGGTTGTTTTTCCTGTTTTGCCCAAGAATGATGTTATTTTAAAACGAGTTTTCCAGATGCTCCATTTTGCTGCAGGTGTTTTTTTACATATATTTGCGGTCGATATGATATTACAGCGGCAGTTCAGAACGGTCAAGCAATTTGCTGACCGAATTCGCGATGATGTCCATCCCTTCATCCTGAACTGATTTCTTCGAAGTCCACCAGCCCCATGCGCCGCGGCTTCCGAAATCGGCACAACAGCATTCTGTATTGCCATTTCTTGCGCGATACCTAACATGTAAAGAAAGCGAAATTCAAAAACGGGGCTTAGTCTGTCTCCGCGATAGATATTTAGTTTAATGCAAATCAATTTTATCTTCTATAATTTGTAATTTATGTCCTGGTCAAAGTGGATGAGGATATTTTGCGAAGTTTTTGGGTGACGCTTTCGAAATAAAGCGTGTTCCTTTCTCTCTCCCTCCCTCAGTCCCTACCTCCCTCCTTTCTCTATCTAGTTACTAGATAATAAACAAAGCACTCAAATACGAGTGTTTCAAGGCAGATAGGATGTTATAGAGTATTTTTTCACAAACAGCAGAAGAGCCAGTTTGCCACAATTATGATGGCTCATACTATGGGAACCTTCCCAAGTTACTTTGGCGGGCATATATTTCAGCGAAAAAAGGCATCATTAGTCGAGATCAAACTCCACTGTAACGAAGAGTTCCACCCCCATTAACAAACCTAAAGCCACCCCAGAATTCAACTCATCTGCCGTTTGCCCCTAAAGCAGATTCTCCATCGGGCGTCAACCAAACCTCCCCCTTATCTACAGTGGCCACAGTTCCATCTAGTTCTTCAACTGAGCACATTATTACTGAGTCAGCTGAAACCAGACTCGTTAAAACACCCGTAAGAAGCAAGTATTGCTCAAATGAGGCTCCCAAGTTTACGATGGAGCTTGATCTTAACAGCAAAGATGAGCCAATCCTAGAACCACAACCGACCCCCAGCATTCAGAATAATAAACTAGTTACTCAACCTAGGTCGAGTCCATCCCGTTCTCGCGCCTGGCCACTCAGGTCTGACCTTGCGGTAGGTCAAATAGGCTAGATGATAGTTCAGGGAGATCTTTACCTGTTCCTATCCAGAATTCTCAAATTAACGTAAACACCCAGTTGTAAAGCTGTCTTACACACTAGCCTGCAAAATGCAAGTATCCAGTTTGTTCAGCTCATTTGGTAAGGATAATAGGCAAAGCCTTTGAAAACCCTATTGATTACATGTCAGCTCGTTAGAAATAACTGTACACGAACAAAAAATATTCACTATTAAAACAGTACTTGATTCATTTGAGTAGCATTGTCTCAGAGAAAATATTTGTGGGGATGTGGGGTCTTAGTTCAGATTCAGAGTGTCGAGGGAAAACAGGGGACACAAATAATCATCCAAGCGTTTCTTGAAGAGTTGCAGGGACGTAGCCTCCACGACTGACGGAGGGAGATCGTTCCATTTCTCCACTACCCTCTGTGTGAAAAATTCAGAACGAAGATTCAGCCTGGACATTGTTGTCCGTAACTTCATCGAGTGACCACGAAGATTGGGTGAAAGGTGCCACTGAAACATGTCGTCAAATTTAGGTCTATACTCAAAGCCATGTATTATCTTGTAGACGAGGATAAGACCACCTCTCTGCTGCCTGTAACACAGAGGGAATAAGTTTAGGCAATTCAGTCGGTCTGTGAAGGATTGGCTTTTTAGATCGTTTACCAGCTTTGGTTACGCCCATGTAACCGTTCGAGGCATGCTTGGTCCTTTACTAGCCATGGCCGCCATGCTTGAATGCCATATTCTAAGTGGGGCCGAACAAATGTGCCGTAAACTCTCCCAAATAGGTCTTGGTCAAAGTGTACGAAAGTCCTTTTGATTGCATGCAACACTCCCATGGCGTTGTTTGCAGCCTTGTGGCACTGCAGTGTTGGTTTCAGGTTGTTCTGTATCCAAACCCCGAGATCCTTCTGTGAAGATTCTGCAGGAGCCTTATATCTTTCAGGTGATATGTTCTCAGGCTGTCATTTGAATGAGAGTTGGTTGGACGCAGATGAAGGACGGCACACTTCTCCACATTGAAATCTAGAAGCCATTTCTTCGACAACGCTTGCAGTCGGTGCAGATCATCTTGAAGGGATCTCTGATCATTCGGTCCCTTAATGACTTGCCAGAGCTTAGCATCGTCTGCAAACATTATTTTGCCGCAGTCGAGTTCCTGAAGGTTGTCGTTAACATAAAGGATCAAGAGCAATGGTCCCAGAACTGAGCCTTGAGGCATCCCTGCCAGCACATGGCTCCTTCATAGGCGGGGTTGGAGGGGGCTGGGCGGGGCCAGAGCCCCCTCTGGATTGAAGCCTTTTGAAGCGTATTTGCATCGAAAGATATGTTCCAAAAGCACCACTTATTGTACCTTCTTTGGAATTTAAAGGAGCTAATTTATCAAAATTGGCTTATAAACCATGAAGAAAGCATCCGTTTACGCCCACTGAATGTAGCTGCGGATGAGCACAATATATTGAGGTTTTGTTTAAGTCCCTCATTGCGTAAACTCTTATTTGTCCACCGGTTTACAATCTGTGTGTGTTATTAATTCGTATATTTGACAATCGGGACGATATTTTAAAGTGGTGCCAAAAGTGGGCTGGGATGTGGCGTCCCCTGCACATTTTTTTTCGCTGGCGGGGCTAGGCGGGGCTATCGCGTTGCATGCCCCGCCACAGCCCCCTCCACAGCCCCGCTTAGCCCCCTCCGGGCCCCCTCTAGCCCCGCCATTATTGAGGGGGCCAGGCGGGGCTACGCGGGGCTGGTGCTGGCAGGGAAACCACTGGTCACGTTCACCAATTCTGACATATCATCCTCGATACAGACACGTTGTTTCCGACCAAACAGAAACGCCCTAATCCAGTTCAGAAGATCACCCCGGATGCCGATGGCGCTCAATTTGTGAAGAAGACGTTGGTGCGGGACAGTGTCAAAAGCTTTGCGGAAATCGATGTATACAACATCGACCTCAAAACCCTCTTCTCGAGCCCTGGTCCAGATCTCCAGACAAGTTAGCAGATTTGAGTGGCAGGAACGTCCTCTCCTGAAGCCATGCTGAAAATCCTGCAAGATGTTATTTTCTTCACAAAATCGCTGTATAGCGCTCTTCACTAGAGCTTCCATCGTTTTGCATGCGAGTCAAGTTAAAGTAATAGGCCTGAAGCTGCTTGCTGTCATCCTGCTACCTCCCTTATGTAAGGTAACGAGGTTAGCTGTCTTCCACTGTCATGGCAGCCTTCCTGTTCTCATTGACAGCCCAAAGAGAGTCGAAAGAATCTTTGACAGTTCCGTCGATAGCTCCTTAAGTATCAGCCCGGGAATTCCGTCGGGTCCAGGAGACTTATCAGGTTTTATTTCACCGAGGACGCGCCTTACTTCTTCGACAGAAAAGGCAACGCTTTCAATGCCGGCAGTATCTTGGCTCATTTGAAGCTCCCGGCTGTCTCGGTCCATTTCAAACCGCTGATTGTCTTCTGAGGACTCCTCCGTAAAAACCGATTGAAAAACTGAGACAGTAATCGCGCTTTCTTTGGCCCATCAACTAATAAGTTTCCGAGGCTATCCTTTAGACACGCAATTTCGTCCCTATGTTTCCTCCTACTGCAGATGTACCCGTAAAACTTCTTGGGACATGTAATGGATTCTGCTATCAGTCGGCGCTCGAAAGAAGTTCTAGCAACCCGTATTTGTTTGCGGCATTTATTGCGCTGATCCTTATATTCGGTGAATGAGCTTGGATCTCGAAGTTGCAAATACTTTTTCCAGAGTCTCTGTTTCCTCTTCATGGACTTTTTTGTCGTTGCTGATAACTTTTCCAATCCCACTGCTAGTCTGACACCCCAAACAATAAAGCCCTTTCCTGATGTTAACTGTTTCCCGAAACCATTACGTCCGCTACCTAGCATAAACTACCCCTCATGTTATGCTGAAAATTTACAAAATCGTATTTTCATGCCTCACATTTTTCCAACCCAAGAAAATACCTTTCCTTTTCCGGGGTCCTCCTCAAATGTTTTTCCACATAGTGCTGCATCTCTAGTTAGTCATAATTACCCCACAAATTTTAGACCTCAGCAACTTTGTCCTCCACCAATTGCCTTGTCCC